AGCATTCTGAACAGACTGAAATGGTCTTTAAATGTTTGTAGGATTTAATGATACAGCTGTCTGGGCCTGGAAGATTCTTAATGTGAATTCAATTTTGCTAATAAATATAGGTCTACTTGAGGAGTCTAATTGTTCAGTGACAGTTGAAAGTTTGTGGTCAATTTCATATAAGTGCTTTGTTGTTTCCTTTTTCACTATAAAAGTTGTTTGTACTATTATTCCCTTATGATCATTTTAATGTCTGTGGGCTTTAGCGAATCTACTCTTCACTTCAGGGTATTCATAATTTGTGTCTTTTTGGTTTTTTTTTTTCCAGTATCAATCTGGCTATCAGTTTTATTAATCTTTTCAAAGAGTTTTTAATTTCAATTATTTTTGTATATTATCTCTCTCCTTCCCATGTTACTGATTTACGCTATGTATTATGTCCTTCTTGCCTATACTTTAAGTTTATTTTCTAGTCTTTACTACTTTCTTAAGGTGAGAGTTTATATGATTATTTAAGCCCATTCTTCTTTTCTAATATGGGCTATTTAAGCTACAAATTTCTTTCTAGTCACTGCTTTGGTTGCATTCTGCAAGTTTTGTTAGGCTGTGTTTTCATTTTTGTCCAGCTCAAAATATTTTCTAACTTCCCTTGGGGCTTCTTTGACTCATGGATTATTTATCAATATATTAATTGTTAACTGTTGGAGATCTCCCAGTTATCTTTCTGTTATTAATTTCTAATTTAATTCTTTTATTTTCAGAGAACACTCTTTGTATGACTCCACCCCATTTAAATTGAGTAAACCTTATTTCATGACCCAGAATACAATCTATATTTGTGAATAATCTGTGTATTCTGGGAAAGAAAATGCATCCTGCTATTGCTGGGTTGAATCCAGTTGGTTGATGGTAACACTCAGTTCTTCTTCACTGATAGTTCTCATTGAGGGCAGTCTTGTTCCACAGTAGATATTTGGTGATATCTGGAGACACTACTGACTGTTACAACCTGTGGGCAGCTGCTGGCACCCAGTGGGTAGAGTCTCCTAGATAACACCTTACGATGAGTGGGACAGGGCTTCCCCCTTATTCTCACCACCAACAAAGATCTGGTCCCAAATTGTCCATAGAGCCAAGGACAAAAATCCTTTTCCTTGCTGACTTTCTCTCTACCTACTATACTAATTATTTAGAGGCAAGTATAGGTATCTTCAACTTAATTGTAAATTTGTCCATTCACATTATTAGTTTTTGCTTCACTTACATTGATGCTCTATTTTTAGGTATATACATGATTTCTTGGTCTTGGTAATATGTCCGTTTTATTTTCAAGTACTATTCTTCTTATGTGCAGATAAATTTTCTTGTTCTGAAATATTCTTGTCTAATATTAATAAAGTCACTCCAGCCTTCCTTTAATGTTTGTATGGTATGACTATTTGGAATCTTTTAGTACAACTTACTGTTTAAAGTGAACTTCTAATAGCTACCACAATCTTTTCCTTTTGTAATCCATAATGACAAGTGTGTCTTAATTCGTACATTTAGGTCAGCTTTATTTAATGTAAATATTACTATGTTTACATTTAGGACTACCATTTTAGTAGTCTTCTATTTCCTCTTTTCTACTTTCTTTGGGTTATTTGAAATTTTAAGAACTGTTTTATTTTCATTGACATACTTAGGTTTTTACCATAGCTCTTTTAAATATTGTCTTAGTGATTTCTCTGGGAATTATAATACATGTCCTTAAGGTTCACAGCCTAGTTATAATTAATATGTTACCAATTAAAAACCATGTCCCTTATAATATATGTCCTTAACGTTCACAGCCTATTTATAACATGTTACTAATTAAAAACCATGTAAAAATAAACCTTACCACCATATGAGTCTCATTAACTTCCCCCATTATGGTGTAGTTGTCATACTTACTACACCTACACACATTGCAAGCCCCATCAGATGGTGTTATTTTGTTTTCAGCCACATGCATATTTTAAAGATCTCATAGAAGAACAAAAGAACCTACCATATTTAATCACATGTTTACTATTTCTGCTGCTCTAACTTTATTTCCACAGCTTCACATCTCTCTCTACTGTGGTCTCCCTTTTATTCAAAGAATTTCCTTTTCAGCATTTCTGCTGCAGAAGCTCAGATTGTAGCAAAGCCTTTTATTTCTCATTCATCTGAGAATGTCTTCATTTTGCTTTCATTTTAAAAGAATACTTTCACTGTTTGAGTTGATGATCTTTTCTTTCAGTACTTTAAATTGTTTTTTGCAGTACCTCTGGCCTCCAAGGTTTCTGATGAGAAAACTGTGGCCGTTTGTATGGAAACTGCCCTGTATAGAATGTGTCTTTTTTTCTCAGGCACATTTCAAAGATTTTGTTTGTTGTTTCATTCTGAGCAATTTTGTTAAGCTTCTGAGTATGAATTTTTTCCCGTTTATCCTGTTTGGAGTTTTCTGTGTTTCTTGCATCTGTAATTTTTGTTTTTAATAAACTTTTGAAAAATTTCAGCCACTTTTTCTGCATCATAATTTTTCTGTGTCACAATTCCTTTTCCTTTTCTGCTGGGATATAGTTTGTAAGTAGCAATTCAACCCAGTCAGATCCAGGCTACAAGGTCTGTGTGCCATCTGTCAATTCGGTCAGCTATGATTCTAACATCCATTTGGTATTCAAAGAACAAGTGGTATGATTTGAATCAGCCTTTACATTGTCATTTCACCACCAGCCTGGAACCTGCATGGTGATCTATCTCTTTGATCAGCTCTCAATGCATTTAGATCCAAGTATGAAAGAACCCATTCTTATCCATGCAGAGGCAGCTCAGGGTGCATCCAGCATTCATCAATTAGGCATCACTTTTATAGAGGTCCTCCTCTCTGCAATCTTCTCTACACTTTGTGGGTCCTGGAAGTCTATTTTCTCTGCCTTTTCTTGGTCCTTTGGCTGGAAGCCTAAGGATTTGTTTTCTAAATCTGCTGCACCCTTGCTGCCAGTATTTCTGCCTCTAGGGCCAAGCAGCAGTAAGAGAGAAAGACAAAGTGGTCCCTAGGCTCTCAAGACCTCAGGCTGTTTGATCATGACACAATGTTCTCCCCCCTCAGCCTTTCAGATGCTGGAGACACAGTGACCCAGTGTCACCTGGGCTGAGGCAGGAAGGAAGGAGCGCTGTGGGCAAAACCAGATTTCCTTTACTTTTTCTGACCGTAGAAGCCCCCTTCTCAGCTGGGCAGGGAGGGGATGATGCAGGAAACTTACAGCCACACTGGTTTACTTAAGTAGAATCTGCTCCAATCTGCCCACTGCCATTAGCTGCAGAGCCCTTTGCATGTTCCTCTTCAGACACTTTGGAAGGGAAGGTGGGGCAGAGTGTTCTCGTTCCACCTTAACCTTCCCTGAGGCCAGGCTGCCTTTAAGCTGCTTTATCCCTCCTAGGGATATCCCTCACTGGTTGTTCTGAATGACAGAGAAACTTGCTTGCTGGTGTATGCATGCTTTCTCTGCTAACCAGCCAGCTATGCCTGAAAGCAGCACATCTACCCTTTCCAAAGAACAGGGCCAACTCACAAGGTTTGTGTTAGTGCTGCTGAGAGCTAACAGGACTGTCAGGTTTGTGGAAGTCTGTCCAAAAGTAGCAAACCAGAAAGCAAGATGGACCAAGATTCAGGAAGGGAAGCAGCTGCAGACCACACAGAACAGTTTGGGTGCTGCTCCTCATGGTAGAGCTTCTTGGTCTTCCTCTCTATCATAGGGATAGTTCCATGTATCTTGGATTATTGAAGATTGGAAAGCACTGAGAAATGCTTGCTATAACAATATTTAATAACTCACATTCATCAAGCTTTTACTGTGTGCCAGGCATTGTTAAAAGTGCTTTCTAAACTGGGCAAGGTTGAGCACACCTGCAATTCCAGCACTTGGGAGGCTGAGGCAGGATGATTGCTGTGAGATTGAAGCCAGCCTGAGCTACACAGTGAGTTCGAGACCAGCCTGAATTACAAAGCAAGACCCTGTCTCAAAAAAAAAAAAAAAAAAAAAATGGGGCTGGGGATATGGCTCAGTGGTGCAGTGCCTGCTTGCTAAGTGCAAGGTCCTGAGTTCAATTTCTGATACCCAGGGGGAAAAAGTGCCTTCTCTAAGAGCTCCATATGCAGGCTGTTTTCATCAGAGAGGAAAAGCTCAGACACTGAGAATTTAAGAACATTCTTAGCAGCAGAAATGGACATCTAAGCCAAGCATGCTTCCACCACCTTCTGCATGCTCTACCCCCTTATGATAACACTCATAACAGTCACAACACCCACTTGGACAGAGGAGTTGGCAGGGTAGATTTCCAGTGTGGAGGAGGATGGGAAGAAGGACAGCATTCCCAGGAAGCTTTGCAGTGCTTAGCCCTGGCTCTTCCACGCTAGGGGTGAGGATACAGGGCGGGCAAACCCTGAGTCCTCCGCTCAGTGCTGCTCCTGTTGCGCTACAGTTCTAGTAGCCACAGCCAGTTCTAAAGGCTAAGGAAGGTATAATAAGTCTTTCTTAACACCATCTTACCCCTCAGATCTGGGCCTCTGTTACACCTCTCTGAAGCCCTTTCCTAGAACAGACACAGCCCGAAGAATGCTAGATTTATGTGGGTGTCTAGGAGTGGACCAGATGTCCAAGAAACGCTCCCCTTCACACACATGTCCCTGGAGTCAGAGGATCATGTCCAAGCCCAGGACAATGGAGGTGTCCATAAGGCAGGAACTGACAAGCTGGAGAGCCATTAAGCATCCTCAGGCCAACCCAGCACCTCCTGTTTAGCATCTGGGGAAAATGAGGCCTGAGAGGCCACAGGTTCATTGAGGATCCCCTCAGCCAGACAGATTCTGATGATGTCCCAATTCCTCTATACTCTCTTGTGTCTCTCTTCCTAGACCAATTAGGAGTACAGCACATGATTAAGGGGGCAGGTCCAATACCCCATGTCCTCTCTTAACAAGATTTTTTTTTCTCTTCTATCAGCAGTTTCTTATGACCTTTTCCTCAAACTGGTCACCATTCAATCAGAAAGACATTTGTGTGACATCCTCCCTCACTAAGAGAACATGGCCAAGGGAGGAAAGGGCCCCAAGGGCAAGAAGATCACCCTCAATGTGGCCAAGAATTGCATTAAAATCACCTTTGACGGGAAAAAACGCCTGGATCTGAGCAAGATGGGAATCACCACCTTCCCAAAGTGTATTCTGCGCCTCACTGATGTGGATGAGCTGGACCTCAGCCGCAATATGATCAGGAAGCTCCCTGACTCCATCGCCAAGTTCCAAAACCTGCGGTGGCTGGACCTGCACAGCAATTACATCGACCGGCTGCCCACATCCCTCGGCCAGATGACCACCCTGCTCTACCTCAACGTCAGCAACAACCGCCTGACCACTAATGGGCTGCCTGTGGAGCTGAACCAACTCAAGAACATCCGCACTGTGAACCTAGGACTGAACCACCTGGACAGTGTGCCCACCACACTGGGGGCCCTGAAAGAGCTGCATGAGGTGGGGCTCAATGACAACCTGCTCAACTCCATCCCCACAAGTATTGTCCAGCTCCCCAAGCTAAAGAAGCTCAACACAAAGAGAAATCCCTTTCCAAAGGCAGAGGAGGCGGACACCTTTGTGGATTCCATCAAAAGGCTGGAAAGCCTTCATCTGGTGGAGGAGAAGGACCTGTGTGGGAACTGCCTGAGAAGATGCCAACTGGCCCGGGATAAACTGAACCGAATCAAGAGCACAGCCACAGCAACACCGAGAAAGGCCCTGTTTTCCACTTTGATCGCCCCTAACTCCATGGCCAAGGAATCCCAGGAAGAGTGGAGGTGACCTGGGACCCCGATCCTGAGGCAGGAGGGGAAAGAAGGGAGAACAGGGGTAGGGGACTCTGACTAGGAAAGAGAGGGTACCCTGTTACAGCAACAGCCCTTCTACCCCAGCCCATAAAACACCTTTCCCACCTCCTCGGCTTGTGACTGTGTTGACTGGAGGGCTTTGGGTTCCCTTGCTACTCTGCACATTTCTTCCTGTTCTATACATACACCCATGTGGACAGGAGAAGCAAGTCAGGAAAGGGCCACCCATCCATCCACACTTCTACCCATCTATCCACCCATCTACCCCATCCATCCATCCATCCTTCCATCCATCCATCCAGCTCACATCTGCCCCTGAGCTCTCTAGCTTACAGCCTGGGGTCCAGGTGACAATGTTGCCGACACTCTCTGGCATTTCAGGACCCACCACCCACTCCCAAGTGTGGAGTTTGTTCCATAGGTACTTCTTGGATCTGGGCGACAAAGTCAGCAATCCCAAAGTGTGGGCTAGCATTGGTCAGGGATAAAGTATCAAATGATGCCACAGAGATGAACAGGTTTTAAGGATTGCAGATCATCTTGTCCTACCTTTTTCTGTCTACATAGTTTGTTCCAAGAGCTTTCAATGCTAAACCTGCAGGCCCCCATGGGCTGTGAGTGGATGAGTTCACTGCACCCCATGCCTTTCCAGAGCCTTGTGGGAAGAAAAGAGGGAGTGATGGCAGGTATAGCTCAGTTTGTTCAGCAAGTAACTAGCTCACTAGCTATGTGCTAGGTGCAGGACCCACGTACAGTGGGATAAGCTTGGCCTGCCATTTGCAAGCTGGAGGAGAGGTCATCTGAGAAAAGATGGACAGAACATCTTAGTCCGAGAAACTTAGGAGACCAGACCCATGACCTTCAGAGCCATATTTAAAACATTTGCCAGACAGCTCTTCCTATGGCTGTTCATAGCTACCAGTGACTGCTGGGCATTTAGGTTGTGCTGGGCACTTAGGTTGTGCAGGGCCGGCCTGGTTTGGAGAAGGCCAGAGATTCTGGAACTGGGCAGATTTAGGTGCTTAATGGTTCTGCTTCTCCTGCCATCTCTGTGGGGCACCTTGTTCAGCCTCATCTGTGAGCTCATGCTCAAGTTCATAGGGCTGCTGTGAATTAAACCAGGCAGCACAGGCAGCATGCACACAGAGGACGGCATGCACCCAGAGGATGGCATGCACCCAGAGGACGGCATTCTCTTCCAGGGCAAGAGTTCGATGTCTCACAAAGAGAAAAGTACTAACTCAGGCAGGCCATGAGACACACAGATCTTTGGACAGACATGAGAGTGGCAGAGATGATCCTCACAATAGCTGTGACCCTTTGGGGGCCTCACTGTACATCACTCGCTGACAACTAGAGGGACTGAGTAACAGGCACCAGGGAAGGCTTTTCTGGGGAAGCTGTTGCCACAGTGGTCCTTGCGGAGCATAGCAGGCACCCTCCGCTTGGAGGATGAGCTTCTTCCTCCACACTGTGAACCACAGAACGGATGCTTCACCACTCCATCCCATTCTGCTCATTTTCCTTCGCATTGCTCAGCTGTGACAATGCCTTCATACTTCCAAAAGCCCAGAGGAGCTAGATTCAAAGTTCCCATTTTAGTTTCTTCCCTTTATTAAATGCCTTCCATTAGAAAAGTAACGAAACCACAATCTAGCTTTCCATGTGGTCGATGAAAGCGAGCACCCATCCACAGTGTGAGCCAACTACAGCACTGGCAGGTTTCCTTGTGAGTTATTTTTCTGCTTATGTGTTTACACATAGTTAAAATTACAGCATTCATGCCATCTCCATCCCGATTTGAAATCCATGTGGGCACATGGTCTTCACATCCATAATTTAAAGTGTCTGCTAGATAGTTACTCTTTTGGATATGCATAACTCTAAGTCATGTTGGGCATTTAGGTTTGTTTCCAATTTTTCACTAATGGAAATAGTTTTGCAATGAGAGCTGGGATGACTGAAACATTTTTAAGTGTTTCAGATCATTTCTTTGGCACAGCTGCATCCCTGGGAATATTGTGTTAAAGGTTATTTGTTTCAAAACTAATTTTTGACATATGCCATTGAGTAGCTTACGGAAGTGTATGTCCACCAGTGATGGATTATGGAGCCCATTTCCCTGTGCTTTCACAGGCACTGAGTGCTGTCCCTTGTATGTTTCTCCTCACTGCTTGTCTGACTGGCCAGAGTCTTGCAAAGATGAAGGGCGGTCATGACTGAGACCTGCGTGATGAGTGCCACACCCTTGGCTTAGGGAAGCTACTAGTATGCTGGGTCCTGGGCCTGCCTGTCAGCCATCTGGCTTGCTCTCTTCATACCTCTCTCTCTCTCAGCCAAAAGTTCCAGCATCCCTGGGCAGATAGTAGCAGGGAGATCCTGGGTAGTGCGGCAGGGTGTTATCTGGCCTCTGTCAATTCCCACTTCTCAGCTTGGAGATACTTTTGCTGGAGAATCAGTGTCCCCATCTTAGGTGCCCAGAAAGATCAGCAAAGGGGAAGCATTAAGAAAAGCATTGCAGCTGCAGCCCCTGCTGTCCCCAGGCTCCCACCTCTGCTCGTGCAGCACACTGCATGCCACATGGGGTCTAGCCCTGGAATCCTTTCGCTCTATCACTGTGTATCAGGAAGGGATTCAAGTGCTTTGGGCTTCACCAGGCAGTGTGCTTTGATTTGACACTGAACTCACTCAAGTGAGACACCATTTTAGCTAGAAAAGGCCGGCACTGTGGGTGAGGGGTGCAGAGATGAGAGGTACAGACCAGTTAGGAAGCATCTGCATTTTTCCTTTCCTGTCAAGGAATGGCTTGATGTTGACATTCCTTCATGCTGTAAATACCAATCACGTTTACTTCCTGGACACTATAGGAAGTCTCAGAGTACTGCATAATAAAGCCTTACGGGGGTCCTGCTGCGCCTAGTAGAACAAAAATGCCACACACACTGACCCACTCTTCTCTGGTTCTAAAAGCTGGGTGTGACCCAGTGACCCCGTACCACCCAGGGGTGATCTGTGTTTTGCCCTGTGGCCAGGAGCAACTGCCTCAGCTTCTTGTGTCTCCATCCCCAGGTTGCGCCCAACAGCCTCCTAGAGTAGCTTATGGCAAAAACACGAAGACTACTGAGCTGACAGGAACACACGGCTCTGAAGAGGAGAAGCGGGTTAGGAGAAGACAGAGGGCAGGGAACACTCTGAAAGCCGGGTTGTCCGCACTGCCTACGCCCCTGGCTTGGCTCACAAGCTCATTGTCATCTCTTTTCTGTGGGCTCCCTGTGTGTGAAAACAAATCTGGAAAACATCTTGTGTGTTGTCTTAAGTGTATACAGAGGAAACATTTAAGAAAATTACAGACATGCATTAGCGACAATGGCAAACTTAAAAGAAGACATTCAGACTTCAAAGGCTTGCGGTCTCTATATTTCACTCATGCTGGTACAATCTCAACCTGACCATAAGTTACATATGTATTATGCGATGCCCCAAGCAGCTAAAATTTATTACCTTTTTTTTTTTTTTTTTTTGGTTTTTCTCTGGTACTGGGAACCGAACTCACGACCTTGCGCTTGCCAGGCAGGCACTTTTGCCGCTGAGCTAAATCCCCAGCCCTAAAATTTATATAAAATCTACACAGAGAAACATACAAGCACACTACAGATAAATCAAAGGGAAATTTTAATACACCTTTCAGTTATGCACAGGAAGGCAGAAAAAAGAAAACAGAAAAGTGAATAACAGGGAAAGAAAACAATACAAAAATAAAATGTCACACTATGCCCTAACACTTCAGTACTCATATTAACTGCAAACAGTTGACTATGTGTAATGGCACCAAAGTGGAAATAATCAAATGTCCTTCAGTGCACAGATAGTGGAACAAACTCTGGTATATTCATACCATGAAATACTATCTGGTCATTAAAAAGGAACATGTTATTTATACGTGCAGCAACTCTAAGAGAGCTCAGCGGTAGCATTCTGAGTTTAAAACAGCCAATCTCCAAAGATCGCCTCCTCTGTGGTTCTATTTATAGAATGTCCTTTAAATGACAGAATGACAGAGATGGGAGGTGGATGAGTGGCTTCTGGGAGCTGAGGACAGCTGAGTGTGAAGAGGCAGGCATGATCGTAAAAGGCAGCACATGAAATCCTTGCTACATGTGTTGTGGTAGTGGTGTCGCAGGAATCTACACAAGTGATAAAATGACAAAGATCCAGGCAACACATGTAGCAGTGGGAATGCCCTGGTTTTGAAATTGTACAGTAAACACCGTATGCCTGTGGAGGCTGTGGGGCAATCAGGTGAACACTGCAGGGGGCCTCTCTACTACCGTACAATTTCCTGGGACTGTAAAATCAATTTAAAATAAAAATGTAAAAATCAGTCTTACCACCTAGCTGTGATAATAAACAGATCCTTGCATCTCTCTCCAGTGCTAATTTGTTAGTCACTACTGTAAAGCAAGCATAGAGTGAGACTCGAACACACAAAGTCCACCCAGCTCTCCAAGAGCCACAGTGTGCCTGTCCTGGTGGCTGGCTCCAGCCAGGAAAAACAAGAGATCACATGCACTACAGTCTTTTGGGTGAGCTGGGGATCAAGGTGAGATCTGCAGAAACCACACAGGGCACCCCCACCTCTAACAAGAAAGCCATGCCTGGGGACACATGCACTATACAATATCCAAACAACCAAAGGGACCCCAACTCCAATGCTATTCATTATAATCTCAATTATATTGGGTCCCCCACCCTCCATGTGCCATGACAGTTCCTCAAAGGTTCCTATAACAAAAACCTCTCCCCTCCAGTAGGAAGGACAACACTTGTCCCTCAGTGGAGTGAACTGCGGCTCCATTCCAAGGAGCAACTCCCTCCCTGTAGAAACCAGATGGAGGCTCTGAATGCTGGCTTCTTCTGGGCTGTGAGCTCTTCTCACTGGTCCACTCCCACCCTGCAGATTTATTATCTTGGATAATAAATCTATGCTTTCACTTCTACTTCTGTGTGTCCTGATCAATTCTGTACTCAGTATACCAAGAACCTAGGACAGTCACCACCCCGACAACATGTCAGCATCTCAAAAGAAAGAGCACCTTTCCCTCAGTCCCCCAGACCAAAATTACCCACTGTTGATCTCATCCTGGAGGGTGACTGAGAAGGTTGCCAAAAGAAGAAGAAAACGCATGGCTTCTACACCCATGTCCTGGCTTTCTGGAGGTGGCTGGACACAGGCAGCACCTGGGTGGGGCCTTGACCCAGTGGATGTGTGCCTGTTCCCTGGGCCTCACCATGGTGTTGGGGAGTGTGGAGGCTGTGGAGTCACCTGATGGATGGAGCTGGAAGGGAAAATGGGCATGCTGGCTGCAGAGAGCAGCACTGAGCCAGGCTGCTTAGGGGTCCAAGGATGTGGCTGAGGGTATAACTTGGACAAGACATGAGCTGAGTGTAGCAAGGAAACAAAAAGTGACACAGGAGGGGCCAAACGCAGATCTGAGCATGAACCAGGTAGAGTCACCCGCTCTGATGCCCATGCCCATTCTGCCAACTGTGCAAAAATCTTCTAAATGTTGTGCATGGTTGCCATGCTCAGAATTTTTAGTTTGCAGTCAGCCTTAGTCCAGTCCCAGAAGTTCTGCTCCAGAGCTCAGGTATCAATCCTGTTTGTCTGTACCACTGCCCTCTTGGGGAAGCATGTCATCAAAACCCCAAGGACCATATATCTGCTATCATGGTGGTGTGGAGCTATTTATCAAAGTGACCACATTTGTTACAGATTTTTAGCCTCTAAATCCACATTAATTCTGGGGAGGGGGGTGATTGACAGAGGAGAAATGGGGGAAGAGTGTGTTATGGTTTATTCCTAGATGTCCCCCCAAAGCATTCATAGGTGGGGATTCTGGGAGGTAATTGGATCATGGGAGCATGATACTCATGGGTGGATTAGTCCACTGGTGAGTGTATAGCTAAATGTGATTCTGGGAGGTGAAGCCTGGTGGGAGAGGGTGGGTCACTAGGTGTGTGGCTTGCAAGAGTTTATCTCTTCTCACTCTTCCCTTGATCTCTCTCTGCTTCCTGCCACCATGCCATGAGCCATTTCTCTGCCAGGCCCCTCTACCAGGCCACCCTACCTTAGAGCCAGCAGACTATGGACTGAGTCCTCTACAAACTGTGAGCCAAAAAAACCTTTCCTTCTTGAACTTGTGGCTGTTGGGTATTGTGTTCCAGTAGTGAGAAAATAACTAAGACAAACTACTTGATTTTAAGGCTGCGAAGAGTAGAGCAGAGCCGTGATGGGTGATAAGGCAGATCATCTCCTCATGGGAATGTCACAGCTTCTATGGCTATGTTTCTAAGTCTCTTGTCTTTATTGGTTATCAGAGATAATCTATGGAGGAAATAAAAACCCGAAAACCTTCAACTGTAGAACTTGATGTTGCAAAGTGAGTTTTGCTTTACACTTTGGTGCACCAAACCCTATTCCCAGTGGACGCAGGAGCTTTCTCCGAGTCCTGTACTTTGTGGTGTGCGGGAACTGTGCCAGGCAGGACACAGACCTGGCAGGTCCTGCTTCAGTAAGTGCAAACAGCCATGACAGAAGAACCAACCACAGCAGAAATGAAAGCAGGCATTCAATACATGCAGGGCCCAGCACGACCTTGTCATCCTCCTGCGGATGAGTGAGGAATGGCTCTCAAGCATCTGGCTCATCTCTGCAGAGTTCTCTCCCTCCCACCTAGCGACCATCTCTGGAGGGAACAAACCTCAGTGGCCATGGCCAAGGTCCAGCTCCTCTTTGGTGGTGGTCTCTGCTGGCGCCTCTCTGTCTGTGGGAGGAACAGAGCTCGCTGGTGTGGATGAAGGAGTGTGTGGAGGGGCAAGAACCCTGTGACACTGCCACAATAGAAATGGACAGAGTGCTGCTCACAGCCAGAAACAGCTGGGGGATCACTGTGCCATGTGACACAATGTATCTGCAAGAGGGTGGCCATGGACAAAGTAGTCTGTCACAGCTGGTGAGGGCCATGGTCTCTGGGAGCCCCTCTGTGTGGAGCAGCAGACAGCCTTGTGCTTTTTCAGGTGCCTCCGTGTTCACTTCTTCATGACATCAGCGCCTTGATTCTCCTGGGGAGCCCCCTTCTCTCGGTTTGTTCTACAATCTGGGATGAGCTGACCTCACCCTGGCAGGTCACCTTGGTCTGGCCAAGGAAGCCATTTGACTGGTTCTGGGATATACATATAACTTAATTTAAGAAAAGGAGATTCAGTTGAATAGAGCACAAGCAGTATGTGGTTGAGTTCTTGGGTGACTGCCAGCTGGGAGCTGCCGGGCCCAGGGGAGCAGGGTGAATCCAAAGGACAGCCTCACTCAAGAAGGAGAGCCTGGCTGCCTGAGGACTTCCTGAGCTGAGACCCCACCAAGTCTGCAGCAGGACCGTGCTGGCCTCCAGTCATGCATGGTGACGAATCCTTCTCCATTCCACTTAGTATGAGGGGCCAACCACCACCTGCACTAAAGCAGCACTGAGGACCTCAGAGGGGACAGACAGCAAGGCTCTCACAGAAGCAACACAAGGTCCCCAGGCTGTGGTCAGCCCATGTGTGCACACTTAGGGTGGCTGAACAACTTAGCAGCATCTGGTACTACAGGGAACAGCCACCCCTGTGTGGGGACCCTGGCAGCCCAGGTCTCTTCAGGGACCCTGGCCTGCCCTTGGCAACTAAAGGGTTAATACCTGCTGGTAGCCACAATGACAGGCCTGCTAAAGGGCCTCTGTGACTCCTGGGCTACCAAGTTCAATGGTCAGGTCCCGGCTTTTCTGTCTGCAGGCCTACGTATACCTGGCTTGCACACCTTCTCTGTTTCTTCCCCACACGCTGCCCCCTCTGGGCTCTTGTGCCCAGGGCGCAGACCACGACCTCTTTCCCATGTGAACACTGCCCTTGGTGACCCTGTCCACTCTCATGGCTTTAAGTGCTATTCCAAATTTACGTCTTCCTGGATTCTCTTTGTGCTCCAGGGTCACACACCCAGCCCCCACCCAGACGTGTGAAGAGCACCCCAGAGCCACATGTCCAAACAGATCTTCTGAGCTTCAGTCCACCCCCACAGCAGCTCTTCCTGGTCTCCCCACTTCATTTTCCAGCTTCTCAGAGCTAAATCTATGTTCTTATCAAGTCCTCTCTCTCGCTCATACACACACGCACACACACTCGCATGCATGTCACACTGACCATTAAAGCCCATCGGATGTGACTTCAAAACACATTCAGCACCTGACCAGCAGCAGCATCTTTGCTGCTAACTCCCAGTGGAAGCCTCCATCATCTGTTACCTGGATCTCCAGCCAGTCTCTGGCTTTTGCTCTTGAACTGCTCTGATCTATTCATTTTGTTTACTAATGTGTGCTTATGATACAGAACACTGATGTTCATCTTGAGAAACTGGCACATGCACTTGACATATCTTGATCTCCTCACCAGTTTCATGGCCATTTCTCCAAGAGTCTACCTTCTAAAAAGGTTTGCTCATTTTTTTTTTAAAGCTTGTGTCTCTCTATAACCCATGCTGGCCTCAAACTCACAACAATCCTCCTGTCTCAGACTTCTAAGTGCTATTACAGGTGTGTGCCACCATGTCCAACTGGTCTATTGTTGGAACAGCAGTCATTTGATTCTTTTCAGATAAAAGTCAAGTTACATGAGTCCTCTGCTGAGAGCCCTTTCAAAATTTCCCATTCACCCATGGTGAGGCAACCCCATCCCTGAGCCCCCAAGGATCACACAAACTCACCCCTGCTACCCTCCCCACTTGCTCGCTGTACCCCAACTGCTCCAGCCTCAGCCGCAACAACCAATGGACTCCACCCCTTCTCTTTCTTCCACAGGAAGTACTCTTTCCAGATTCCAGGCAAAAATGTTCTCCCCGTGTTGGTCAAGTCCCAAGTCAAACGCTGTTCCCTTGATGTGGATGCCCCCCAGCACCCCATCTAAGGTCACAACCCCACCTCTCCATGTGTTGTTTCCTACACTTATTGTCTAATATGATTTTTCTCACCTGCTCACTTACGTAGCTTTACGCCTGTCCTCACCATGGGAATGTGAACTCCACAAGGATGGAGGACTTGGGGCTATTTTTTGTTATTGCTTTGTAAAGCCCCAGACACCACCTATCACAAACCATCAATAAATAATCTGAATGAACTAGGGGGACCCAGCCCATCCTCATGATAAGCATTCTGGATATCCTTCCTGGGGCTGCCTACTGTCCCCACACACTCCTTGAGGAAACCAGTAACCACCTTCCTATTCTCATTCCTAATTAAAATAAAAACACCTACTGATCTTGGATTGGCCTGCAAAAAACAGGACGCTGTAAAGGCAGACCTAGAGAGGAGCAGTAGCCATTTAACTCCAGGGAAAGATGCGCAGGTCAAAATTCACAAATCACCATGCCGTGCACCACCACATATAGACTGAGCAGCCCTTAAGTAAATGCTTAGAGCCAGAAATGATTCTGATTTCAGGTTACTTTAGATTGTTGGATAATTGCATATATTAATGAGATGGAGATATCTTGGGGATGGGACCCAAGTCTAACTAAGAAATCCATGGCTCTGCTGAAGGTTGCCAATCAGACCTCTATGGCAAGTTCAGCATCATTTCTCTATACCTTAGACACAGCCTGGAGAGGACTCTACAAGGTTTTCTCAGTGTGCTGGCCTTTTAACTACAATCTGTCACACAAGGTCATATGTGGAACTGTTCGCTTTCTGGCATCATGAGGTAGTTACACTGAAAAACTTTCAACTTTTGGAACATTTCAGATTTTCTGACTAGGGATGTATAACCTCTATTAATCTGCTCTGAATATGCAGAAACTCTCATTATGGAAAGGACAGACTTGAGATGGACCCTTAAACACCCACACCTGAGGACATGGTCCCCAGGCTGAGCTGAGGTTGGAATCTCAGTGGGCAGCCAGCCCACCATCATAGGCAGGCCAACTTGCCACTTGGGTCTAAGAAAGCCACAGGGCTTGTGGGGCTTCAGACCCATTCACAGAGGTTTGACAGGATTTCCAGAGTACTTTCATGGGCATACGAGATAGAGATGGACAGAAAATGGGAAACCATGAGTGTGCTCTTTGCATGGCTCCAGAGTAGGACCCAGGAAAAGGAGGATAATTAAAGTAAGACAGCACCAGTCCCTGTGAACCAGAGACCCCATGTTACCTGAGATTGAGGGGGTCCTCTGAGATGCCTTTCCCCTTCAAGCTGGGCTGGAAAGAGCAGAAGCTAAACAAAAGGAAAGGAATAATCTTATCAGCAGAGCCCACCTCCTACCACAGCTTGTAGAGACATCTCCTGAGCTAGGAAAGAAGTTGGTCTGTCTGGTTACTCCATGGCCCAAGGTCCTTCGTGCCCTGAGACCGTGAATGCCAGGCCCAGTATGACCCTGGGGGAGCCCCTCAGCACCTAGTGGCATCACCAGCTTCAATAGCAGCAACAACTGCACTAGAAAGCCATAACTCATTAAGGTAATGCCTTTGAGGAACCTTCCCTGGGCCAGGCACTTGAAATTTCCAGGGTCAGTTTTGACAACAACTTCTATCCATTCCACTGTGTCACCCTGGGACAAATGCCATCATGATTTAAGGCTCTTGTAGCAGAGCCACTCAGGGCTATGGAATTTATATTTGGCCACATGCATGGCCTGAACTGTGGGTTACTGTTTAATCTGAAATGTTCCTCAAAGGCCCGTGTGTTAAAGACTTGGTCCCTGGGGTGGCACTGTTGAAAGGGGTGGAAGTGTTGAGAGGTGGGTCCTGCAAGGGGTGGTCCCTATGTCCTCAGGAGCCTGTCCTCATAAGGGATTGTGGAACCCCAGCCTCCCTTTACTGTCTTTCCCTTCCCCACCAAGAGGTGAATGGCTTTGCCACCTCCTGCCACCATGATGAGCCTCTCAAACCAAAGGACCCAAAACACTGATCATGGACAGGAACCCCTGACATTGTAAGCCCAAGTAATCCTCTTTCTATAAGTTGATTATCTCAAGTGTTTCATAATCATAATAGAGCACTGACCAGCAGCTATAGATGTGTAAGACTTCTAGACTAACTGTGAAAAATTGTATTTTATACCAAGGAACCAGAGAGGGAAATGAATTAAGGTCAGTATTATGTGTCTACTATTTCGTTTGGATTGAAATGGACTTTGAAGCCCATTTTAAGAGGAACCTAACAGCAGCCTTGGAGGAGTCTCATGGAAAGTCTCACAGAGTGTAAGAAGGTAGGTCAGGCCAGCAGACACCACAGTACTACAGATATAGGAGTTGTTTCTCTGCACTCTGGTCCTGATTCCTGGGTGCTGCACCTGCTCCTGGAGCCACGCACTGGCCAGAGCCATCAGGGTGGCAAAGCTAAATGGCCTGAGCATAAAATATAGCTCCAAAGTGATGAGAGTCAAATCTTTCCTTCTAATGTCCATCCCAGAGTAGGGCGGAGCGTAACTATGACCCTGTTACCTCAGCCTCCAAGTGGTCTGCTCTGGCCATGACTCTTCCTCTCTGGTTTTCCTGACTTGATAAATCTATCTATTTATCCATACCTTTAATAATAGTAAAAATAAATAACCTTGAGTGCTACGAATTTAGACAAGGGTTGACATCTCACTGGCAGAAAGGAAGGGCTAAGTTGAATGAAAGATCAGCCTCTTTTTAAAAAGAAAGATGTTCCATGCACAGTGGGAAACCAGTTGTTTTGAATTCTTTCCAATGAGATATCAAAATGAAGCCACTAAAATTGGCAATTTGGATCAAAGAGAAAGAAGCAAAAAAGAAATTACTTGGCAAATTGGAAATATCTTCAGAACATTCTAGAAGACCCATTCAACAGCAGTTTCTAAAAAAGGTTGTATCTGCAGGAATTTCCTCCTTCAGCCACTGCCGTCCAAAACCACTCAGTCTGTGAAGATGACAGACATGGGGAAGGGGGCTACTCTATCTTCTGTCTATGCCTGTTTCAAGATTCACCTGCACTGTGGGATGGGAAGTCCTTCCTTATGCCTAACACAAGTCCTGCTTGCTGTGGGAGAGTTGAGAACACCTTTGGGAAAACAGACCTGAGCAAACTCTACATTTGTGCCCTGGGTTCAAGAACTGTTTCCCACAAAGGAAGATTTTTTCAGTCCTTTACCTTTTGAAGGCTTTACTCCGATCACTGTTGTAGAAGACAAGAAACTTGGAATATCCATTTTGGAAAAAGATCTCCATGGCAATGTCCTATGAAAAGAAACTGCTTTTATTACCCCTAACATTCCCAGAAATGGACTCACTTCAAGTGACCAAGCTGCTGACAGTGGTTGTATGGGTCCCTGAGCTGGTCATCTTTCTGGCCTCCCAGGAAAATGGAAGCCTTGGCGGTAGATGAGTAGGGGTCTGCAGAGAGCTTGGTAGCCAGAGGACCTGGCCACAGCCACGAGGTCTTTTAGCTTCAGCAGGAAGTGAAAGCCCCACTCCACTGCCAGGATGAGTGAGGAGCAGACAAACAGAGAGCATGTTCATTACCCCCTCAAGACACTTTCTCTTCTGGGTCATGGGCTGAGTTTCCTGAGACATGGGTCACCTCACCAGGAAGAAGAGAAACCCAAGGTATGGGCACATCTCTCAACCTGAGACCCAACATATGCTCCTCTGCAGATCTAAGAGGCATGGGAACTTCACCTCACACTAGTAACTGTAGAGATGCTATTAGTAAGCGTGTATAGCTAACGCTTAAATAAAACCTACACATCCTTTTTCCTTTGTGTTTTCTTTGCCCCCTCCTCCTCTCTCTCCCCTGTTCCCTTCCAAGTTACACAGATAACAGACTTGGAATGAGAGAGCGAATCCATCCTGAGATCTTCCTCAGGAATGAGATGGTGTCGGAGAGAGAGAATTTGCAGGGCTGGGCTGAGGAAGAGATGATTCCAGACACAAGAGATAGAGGGCTATTGCAAGGGTCTGATTCAGAGCTGGGTTCTACCTGTAGTTTTGGTCATGTCCTTCTTTTGCCTGGCAGGAAGTAGGTTCCCAGGTCTAGTCCATGAGAGAAGGGAAGCATTCACAATGATATATGAGCCCCTCTCCGGGGTGCATGAGAGCCTTGTATTCTATGAGAAATATGTGCAAAGCTGAGCATGAAGAACTTATAGAGACTACAGCTTGGCCCAGCAACCTGAAAATCAGGCTCTGACTTCTGGGAGAACCTAGGGATGGACAATCAGTGGCTTTGCTCTCAACAACCCCTGCCCCCCAAGGCAGTGTGCACAAGCTTCCAACTATGGGGCCCAGCACTGTCAGGAAAATCAGGCATCTGGAAACAATCATTATTTCCTTGGGGAAAAGAAACTTGTTGAACTCATCTGCTCCTCTGTATATCCCCAAAGGCAGACACAGAATCATAAAAAAATAGATGTGAATCCCTACTGTGTGCCCCAAACGTCCTCAGTACACTATGCATACAGAGGAAAGGACAAGACATGGCCTCTTGTGCCCTGGAGGGTGGGGAGCTGAAGAGGCGTTCAAAGGAGGAAGGCAGCCAGGCCAGGCACCCTGCCCAGAGCTGTCCGGGCCCACAGAGCTCCCTTACCCTGCAGCACTGCCCTGCCCACACTCCTTGCAAGATTGCTTGGGAAGCCTGACAAAATGAGAGCAGCCTTGAGGGAGGAACAAGGCTCAGACTCAAGCCACAGCAGCTGGCTGGGCCCTGGTCAGAATTCCAGAATTAACTTCCCTGAAAGGCATCCTGAGCTTCAGTTTCAGAGAATAACTCAGATACTCCTGTGGGAGCCTGCCCTAATGCACACACCCAGTATAAGTTTATGTATGTGAGGTACACTTACGAAGTTGATCAGGACCTAATGGTGTCCCTCACTGGCCTCTCGAAGGAACCAGACCCTGCAGAGGTGAGCACCAAGTCCAGACCCTGCTCGTTTCCTGCACCTTCCTCATCTGTTGCTCTGGTGTTCCCCAGGAGGCCTGGGCACAGGGACACAGCTTTGTTCTCTCCCCTTCCCCGGGAGCCACCTCGAAGGCTGTGGGGAGCTCCAGGAGGCACTGGCAGGAGGAGACAGTTAGCGAGACCCTGCACCACATGGCCTAGGAAGTGCCACAAACCTGCAGCCAGGTGATTGCTGGGGAAAGGAGGACAAGGAAGTCGGGGAGGGCAGTACCCATCGCATGGTCAGAGCAGGGCAGCAGCCTGGACGCTCCTCGCTCAGCTCTCTGGTAACAAAATGGACCTGTCTGCCCTCTGTTCCTAAATATCCCAGGCTGCCCTGGGGTATGTCAAAAAGGAAACAACACGGAATCTGACTCTGAATGATATAGAGGGAAGGAAGGAACGACCTCCAAGCCATGGCTGGGACTGCACAGGATGTGGGAGCCAGAACTCCCAGCCTGCTGGGACTCCACAGAGAGTACCAAGGCCCCTGGCTGTGCAAGTGGGGCCCTGAGGTGTGTCCTTGGATGTAGGACCTGGACCATGTGTCTCCTGATGAGGAAGCCCTCCCACCTGTCCTGAAGGAGTATCTCAGAGCCCAGCATACCTGCAGCAAGAAGCGCGCCTGCCGGAGCTCCTTGAGGTCTCCATAGCCATGGCGTTGGCATGAATAATGGTCAGAGGACCTGTCTTTGCTGCACATGTTGAAAATGAAGGGATCACTGATGCTGGAAGGAAACGAGACAGGCAGTGGCACAGTCAGTCATCAGGCAGGCTCCGTCCACTTTCTGCCTCAGCAAGCCCATCTGAGTCTGGGGCACACACTGGAGCAAAGCTGTGGGCATACCAGCTGGCCTGCCAGGCCCCACGATGGGACCAGCCCTTTCTGAGTGCATGTCCAAGTCTACTGGGCACCAGGGACACGGATGCACGGAGATCTCTGCCCCACGGAGTGGGTGGGGGCCAGCCTGAGGGGACAGGACCGTGTGACACCGAGTGCAGGGGTATGTGAGACAGCGTTAAACCACATGCTGTTCAGTACCCTGGGCCTGCCTCTCCCACCCCTACATCTCTGGCACCCCTGAGAGCTCTCGGGTACACTGTCCTGAGTGGCTGGGTATCCCCAGCCTGGGATAAAGAGGTCCCCTGCATTCTGAAGACACGGCTTGATCACCCAGCAAAAACGTCTGTCTGAAAATCAGAGCTCATCTAGTTTGCAAAAGCCAGGCCTGACTGAGAGAACAGGGAGACACTCTTCAAATCCTCGAGCCAGGTCTTGGGGAGCAAGCTGCAAATTTGGGGAACAAGCTTCTTCATGGAGCAGGGACATGGAGGAGGGGCATGCGGGAGGTGGGAGGTGAGAGGCGGGCCAGAGATGAGACTCCTTGATAGTGACATGAGGATCATGGGGGGCTTGTCCCAAAGGATGGCAAGGTGACCCCTCCTCTTGGAAAGAAGAGGGGGTTGGGGACAATCATAAGTTTCTCTGAATGTTTGCTCCCAAAGAGAACATTCTGTCAGCTGGAGTCATCTGATTACTTTGGGGGTGAGAATCTTGGACTTGCGTGCCCAGCTGATGACCATGGCTAGGCACAGAAAGTGGAGTTCTTCTACAGCCAACCACACAGCTAGACTTAGGTGATGCGCTCCTGGGTCCTTTGTGGCCCCTCTTTAGAGCAACCCTCCCAGGCCTTTGGCTCAGAGCCGTCTCCATAAGATCAGTTAAATACACAGTGTACACTTGGCTCTGGATGCTTTAACTCACACCTGAGCCATCCCTTGTTGGCACCTCTGCTGGGTCTCAGCTGAGCTTCCCCTTGAGTTTCCCTGGACCCCAAGGACCACAGTGATGTCTCCTTTTACCCTTGGCTTGGTCAATGGCAATTCAGGCAGGCCTGGCAGGAAGGGCAATCATAAACTCTCCATGTTCCCATGGGCCCTGCTTGTAGAAGCCACACAAATCCCCCACGTTAGCCAAGCACGTGGTTGCCTTTTCTCCTGCAGGCTATCCCAAGGCTCAAGCTTTACCCAAGGCTCACTGTTCCTCATCTTCCCCTGAGCTCTGGCCATGTTTTCTCACTCACATCCTCATCCAGTTTTCACTTGATTCTCAGAATAAACCTCTACTGGGGGAGTGTGAGTATTAGTCCCACACCAGGAATCAAGAGACAGCATTCCAGAGAGATGAGACTCTCCAAGGTCACGTGGTTATGGAGAAGTTGAACTTGGATTCCAGTCAGCATCCCCTGACTCTGAAAGCCAAGCTTTCAGACATCTTCTCTGTGTGAGGATACATTTTTACAGAGCTCTCCTCACTAGCTCCCTCCTTCCAGTATACTATGTGCTTCCTGATTCTGCCACCCAGCCCTCTGAAGTAATACAGGACACAGAAGGAATGTTCTGGAACACAACCAGGGATGATTTACAATCCTCCTGCTTATAGGAACTGTATAAACATGTAGGACAGGAACCCTAGGGAAGGACACCAGTCCTCAGACAAGCTGAATACTATTTGAGCTCACACTGAGGTCCAAGCTGACGTCTGTCTTGATTCACAGCTGTGACTGGATGTCTTTGCCAACAACATTTCCTCCATGTTCTACACAATAAACCAGAGCCCAGGCACCCAAGGTGGATGGACAGGGAGGGGCAGCAGTGCCATGACCTTCTTCAGGGAAGGCCTGTTGTCACAGCCTACAGGCTGCTATTCAACATTCCCCTGCCTGACAGCTATCACGACATAAGAAAGTTATCTAGGTCTGTAATAATATAACTCTTAATGTTCTTGTTAAGTGAAGTCACAGTCAGCTGAATGATAGTTTGATGTCGGTTGACCTGGTCTTTGCCAGCAGAAGTGGATTTCAGAATGAAATTTACTTTGATTTGCCCCCATTCAAAATTATTCAATTATGGCCAGAATTGTACCTGAAACTCACACCTGAAATCATCCACTAGATTGTAAACTCTTCAGCAGATTCAACCCATGTCTGACTCATCTCTTTGTGGAACCTACCATCACACCTAACCCAAGATAAATTTTCAATAGGTATTTGTTGAATTCAATAAACAGGGAAATGGCACCTCTCAATGATGTGGACAGGGAATCTTGCTTTCCTCCCCTGTCATTAGCATCCTGTTGGATAGTGTGAGGTCCCCCCAAGTCAATCAAATGCCAGATGTGAGCCTGACTGCCATTGGTACAGGTAGGATTGCATCCTCCAGAAGAGATAAGTTTAAGTCAGAATGTCACATTGTTTGGAAATGGATATTTATAGAATCCATCATTTAGATTAAGTCATCAGGGTAAGATCCAATCCAATATAACTTGGTGTTGGCATAAAAGGGGAAATTTGGCCAAAGAGACACAGAGGGAAGATGGCATGAAGCTGTAAGGAGCTGATGGCCACATGACATGAACTACAAGGAACCACCAAGGATGGCCATATGGGGCAGAAGCTGGCAAGAGGAAGCAGGGATCCTCTCCTGGAGCAGTCAAGATGCCCTGTTGACAGCTTGGTTCCACATTTCTAGTTTCTAGGATTTGAAACAATACATTGCTACTATTTTAGAGCCACCCAGTTTGGGATATCCCTAGAAAACCAGCACAACCACTCAACTTTCAGCCAAGATGGAAACCCTGTGTAAGTAAGAGCTAATCTTCTCAGAAGACTCTTAGTTTCTTAAGAAAGTTTCAAAGTACGCAGGTCCAATCACCAATGTACAACTTGCAGTATTCGTGAACTTTATTTGGGATGTTTTTATGGTACTTTAGGGGGCTCTTTCAAGGTCTAGTGCTCAGCTGTACTCAACTTGATGGCAGTCTTTTAGAGAAGCTTTTCAGGCTTGACTGGACTTTATTTTTAACAGGCTTATTTATGTATCTTCCTTAGTCTCCATGGTCAAAATAAGACTTAATCCCCATTGATCTGACATGATCTACGAGCCTGTCTCTGAGAACTGCATCTCCAGGAGTGCAGGAGTTTCTTAGGGCCATAGACAAGACTCCAGAGAGAGAGCGCTGTCTGATTAACAAACACTTCTCCCAGGCATGGTAACTAAAATCACCCTTGTAGCTCCCCCTGAGACTCCAGGGTAGTAATTTGTTCTCACTCTGCTCCTACTTGCAGTCTAGAAAAGTACACTTCCAGACGAGCGAGATCTCTCCTGTCGCTGCAAATCAAGTGAGTGTACACAACCTGACCACAGGGCTTCTATTAAAAGTGCAGAGAGAGTCAATTTGATCAGGATTAGATGCACCTCACAAACACAATTTACTTAATCAATAAGATCTTGTCTAACACCGGCTCACTCTACTCCCGAGGTTATGTAAGTCATCAACGGCACACCACACAGATGGCAGTGGAAGAAACGCCCACCAGCTCCCAGAAAGGCAAGTCTGCAGCCCCACTTCCCGTATTGATCAGTATCAATAAAACATGAGCAATAAGATGGGATGAATGTGCCAAGGATTAATTATGCTCCTCCTGTCTAGGAAAGGCAAAGAAGACTTGCAGCACTTGGTAGACATTTGGTATGAATAAAAGATGGAAATTAGCAGAAAGAACATGCCAAGCATTATATGTAAACACACAAGGGTAGGCTGTTATCCACCACATTCCTTCAACTCTTGCTTCCTGCTATGGGTTGGAAACCCTATAACAACTGGGAGTTAAACTTTTTACTTATTGGCAGCTCAAGTCTCTGATTCCTCTGTCAATCACCTAAAATACAATCGTCAAAGTGTGGCCCCAGGTCAGAGTAGAATCAGCCTGAGGCAGGAACTTGGTAAAATCTCAGGTCCTGTTCAGACCTACTGAACTAGGAACTAGGAATGGGCCAGACTCAAAGACTCTGTTCTAACAAGGCCCTCCAGTGATTCTGATGAAGCTAGCTTGAGAGCCACCAGGCTAAGAGGTCATCTGGTCAGCATTCAGTACCTCAGCTAATCATAACAGGCAAAGCTATGTCTACATGAGGAAATCTTCAACCAAATGTCTTCAAAAGCAATGATTAATTGAAAACCCACAACCTGATAACAGGACTTTTGGAAAAACAGTAAACATGGGCAATCTGACTTCGAATTAAATGGTTGTACTTTAGAAACACAAGATCATTGATCAATAAAAACCAGGTGAATCCAAATAGACTAAACACAATTAGACAAAGAAGAACCTTGGGATTTCCTACCAAAAATGTCCAATATTAGTTGGGATAAAAATAACTCACAATTTCTAGCCAAACTCACCTCACCTATCCTTCAAGACCCTGACCTGCACCATCTCCTCTAGTAGCCCTCCCTCTCCTGCAGTCCCCTGGCCTCCCTGCAAATACACATCACAGAGTACCCCCCAACCACAAAGTACTCCCTGCCACAATGTGCATCGTGTCCTATGGTGACAGTGAGCTCCAAGTCCTTCAAAAGAACTGTGCTGCCGATGGTACTCGTGCCTCTGCCTGATGGCAGTGCCTGTTCCCTTAATAGAATGGGCCATCAGCAGATCCTTGCATGGATAAGCTAAAGTGACTGAACTCAAGCACCTGAACCACCTGGGGACAGACCCATTGGCCTGTGCCCTGGGTTCCAGACAAGGAGAGACATGAGGAGCTGCCTAGTGGTTATCCAGGAGAGACCTCAGTTCTTGGGAAACTTGTCGTGCATGGCCTGTGGCCTGGGATCTGCTGTTTTATCTCACGGCTCTGTACCAGGTGCAGACCGAAGTCTGCAGTAAGAACCATATGGGGAAAAGAAGTGTGGCTCTGGGGACATCTTCTGGGATGTTTTGAGAACTCACTTGGATAAGCAGTGGCGGGTGCAGTAGACATCACCTGTGGGAGACAGAGTAAAGTTCTCGCAGAGGTAGAAGTTCTGATGGCCAAAGAGCAGGACGCCTTCTGAGACCAGGTGGCCCTGCACAATCACCAGGGAGAACTTCTGTGTCACCTGGAGGAAGAGAGCACTGAAGTCAGGCTGTGTGCAGGCAAAGCATGCCCATGGTTCTCAGTAAGGATGAGGGAAAATGACCAGTCATCCACTGGGGTGAGACCAGTGCCTTGTGCAAAAGACTGCTTGTGCCACGATTCACAGCCTGGGTGGTACTGTACCTTCAACATCCTGTGCAGCTGCTCACCTTCCCAGAGATGCCTCTACTTCCACTAAGACACCAGGGTGGTATTTGTTGCTGTATTAAGCACCTCCTAGTCCTTTCTCAGTTTAAGTACCCCCATGGCAAAGCAAAGCATCCTATAGCTGGCAGGGAGAAGAATTTGCCAGGTGCAAGGTGTTTGCAGTGACAGAGGAGAAGGAGCTTATCCAGGGACCTGGTGCAGGGCTGGGCAGCCCTAGAACCTAGGTGTTCAAGACTGCACCACTGTCTCTGCAAGGCCAAAGCAAACGTGCATGGAGGATGCTCAGTATCCCTCCAGATCCTGCATCTCAGGACAATGCATGTAACCCAGCTGGGGAAATGGCCAAAGCTCCTTGGAGCTTCCTTGGCGGCAGAGAGCACCTGGGCCAAAATCACAACCCATCCCATGGGCAACCAGCACCCAGCCCTGGTCACTGTAGAGGAGGAGGGTAAATCAGCCCTGCGCCTCTATGTGGAGCCACACTGGAGACAACTCCTAGGCCTGGAGCTGCACCAGCATTGCTTCTTCACCTTCTCCACTAATCCATCCTGCAGTCTTAACTCAGGACAAATTCCCTGCATGCAAACTTCTAGATCATACTTGGCCTCCCGGGAGCCTGAGCTGTGATGGTGACCCAGAGAGCTAAAGCCAATTCCGTCACTGTGTCAGGGTAATTCTGCGCCAATTCCAGCAGTACTGATATTTTTGGAAGAAAAATAGAAGGAAATCTCAGGAGATTAGAATCTCACCAAAGATTGGGCATAGTGGTGTGTGCCTCTAGTCCTAGCTACTTAGGAAGTAAGAAGATTCCTTGAAACTGTGAGTTCACAACCAGCCTGGACCACAAAGCGAGACTCCCCACCCCACAAGACAGAATCTTACTGAAGATCAGTCCCCTAAAGTTATGGTTTGAATGTGGTTTTCCCCACCAAAACTCATGCTGAAGCTCAGGTCCCCAAAGTGACAGTGTTGAGGTAGGGGACATCTGAGAGGTGATGAGGTCCTCAAATGGATGATGTGTGTAGTTATGAATCAAGTTTAGCTTCCTCAGCTGGCTCTCCTGCTTCCTGTCCTCCTCCCCCATCGCTTGACACTCTCTATCACTTACGGGAGCCAGACATTGGCGCCAGGCATCCTGGACTTTCCAGCCACCAGAATCAAGGGCCAAAATAAGCCCCTTTTTAAAAGATACTATCCAGCATCAATCCAGTTACCTCGTTATAGCAACACAAAACAGACCAAGACACCCAGTAAACGGCACAGCCTGGGATGGAAGCTCCACTCCTGCTCAGCTCTGGAAGCGTGATGGGGTCACACTTGCAAAACCTGGAAAGCTGACACTGACCCCCGTGCTCCAACTCAAGCATCAGCTGGGATCAGTCAGAGTCAGGGCCAAGGCCAGAATCAGAGAGTCACTGCAGGTTTGGTTCCAAGATAAGCATTAACCACGAAGCTCCAAGGTGACTCAGGGCTGAGTTATTTTGCTAAGCAAGGACCAGCCAAGGGTCAATCTTGTGACCAGGCCTGCTGCAGGCGTCTGGCTCTCTGGGGCCTCTCCTGAGTCCACTTTGTTAGAGAAGTTGCTCCTCTGTGTACCTTCCAAGCCACAGAGTCCACTGCAGACTCATTTATAGCTTCATCATCCATACAGACTTCTGCACAACAGCGATTCAGCTCCTACTCCGTCAGGGCCCTACGCAGGCTTTGGGGATACGGAGTGGGCAAGAACGCTAAGACCCAGCCAGTGAGATGAGAAGGGGCTGTGTATGCCGAGAAACACATACCACAGGTGCTCTAGGTGCTGCAAGAGGAGAGCAGGGAAACGGTGGTCATCAAAGAGAAAGCTGAAGAACAGCACTGCACTCACATCCTGGGCCTGAGGGGTAGAGAGGGGCAGCACAGAGAGGCCAGGAGGGGAGCTTCCTGGACATAGGGTACCAGAGGAGCAGAAAGAGGCCAGGCTGGTTGAGGTGGGGCTGGAAAGTAGATGGCCCATTGTGGGGACCTTGACTGTCTTCACAAGGCCACTGGGTTTTTCTCCAGTTGCAGTGGAAAACCACAGAAAGGCTCATTTCTAAAAGAAAATGCTGGATGTTGTGTGGGAAGTGGATGAGAAAGGAAGTGTCAAGAGCAGAAGGAAAGTGTCCAGGCTGGGTGTGGAGGCACATGCCTGTAATCCTGGCACTTGGGAGGCTGAAGCAGGAGGAGAACCATGAGTTTGAGGCCAGCCTAAGGTTACATGGTGAGTTCAAGGCCAGCCTGAACTACACAGCAAAATCTGTAGGAGGGTGCTAAGGTCTGAATATGGTCTGAATGTGTCCCCCAAGGACTCATGTGTTGAAATGTCACCCCCCACTGTGAGATATCGAGGGAGTGAGGTAAGGACTTAATCTACCATGGTGCTCAAAGGTGGACCTTTGGGAGATTTACAGGATTAGGTAATCATAAGGGAGGGATCCCTAAGGCTAAATGTTGATGTCTTTATAAGAAGGAGGGGGACCAGAAGACACAGACTCTCTGTTTCTTGTTGTACGATGCCCTGTGGGTGTCCCAGTAAAAAAACCATCACCAAATGTGGGCCTTTGGCCCTCCAGATCCATAAGCCCAAGTAAACCTCTTTTCTTGGTAAAGTCACCAAGCTTCATGTGTTTCATTATAGTACCACAAAACAAACTAATGCAGAAGGTCATGATAGGCTGGTTAACCTTTTTCTCTTGGACTTCTTACATGCAACTCCAAGGGGACACCATCTTTCACTATACACAGCGAAATGTGGTGCTATGGTGCAAGCCCCACCCTCTGTACCTCCAGAACCTCTCCTTCCTGGTGACACCAGCCCTTTTACAACCTGCAGCAGGGCCTGGAGCATGGGCTGCCCTTGGGAAGAACTTAAGTAACAACGAGAATGAACCAAACCACAAGAAAAATGTCTGGTGAGCACTGAGTTAATAGCTTAAAAATTGATTCTGCTAGAAAACAAATGGCATTTTAAAAACTAGAGAATGAGCCCAAGTGAACTATAACTTGCACTTCCATTTGAATGGGAGGGCTCTGTCTCTGTGTTTACCCAGGACTAAGACATCCCTCCCACAGTGAGGCCATCAATTACTTTCAGAAGAGTGGAACTTTTGCTTCCGAAGGAGAACTTTTTAAAGATTGGCTGGGGTGATGCATTATTATTCCTGAAGGATGGATGATTATGAAGGGCTGCACCTCACTCTGTGGATGACAGACAAGTGGTTGGGAGATCAAAAAGGGCCAGACTGAAGCTGGAGGAAGAGCGAACCTCCGGGACTATCCTCTAACTTCAGTGGCAGTTTACATCACCATCCTCCTAAAGCCAGGCCTCCGTGGGCACATCAGTCAAAGGTAAAGTCACTGAAGGTTCTACTACAAAGAAAGGTGTCATCTGTATCAAGTCATCACATGGAGTAAGCGCCATCATCCCTTCCAAACCTTCGGGATAAGTTCCAGGACCCCATGCTATTAAATGCCAGATGACCAAGGGACCAAGTCCCTGATCTAAAACGCCATAGTGTCTGCATGGGACTTCCACACATAACGTATCACACGTCCCCTCACCTTAAACCTAAGGACCTGGTACAATGTCAACACATGTCAACAGTTGTTCTATTGTGTTGTCCTGGGAAGAATGACAACTGAAAATCTGTCCATGTCAGTACAGATATGACTTTTTAAAGGCTATTTTTTTTTTGCCTGCAATTGGTGGAATCTGTGGATGTGGAATCTGAAGATATGGAGAGCCCACGGCACCCTCACTTTTCAAAAGAGCAGAAATTATTGAGAAAAGGTTAAGTCCCTAGAGCACAGGCTGTACAGGCCACACTCATGCTGGCTTCCATGAAGTAAGCATGCTACCTTGATCACCCTTAGAGGAGCATTCAGTTACAGTAACCGTCAGAGAATGTACATTAAAACAAGAAGGGGATAGGATTCATATACGCATACCAGTTTAGCGGATAGGAGAGGAAAGATAGCATGTAAATGATCTTCTCAGGCTGAGACAAGGAGCAGGGATGCCCTCTGCCTGCCAGCAGGTGCCACTTCCTCCACTGACGATTCCCTGAAGGCTGGTGGGAGTGCGGGCAGCAAAGGCTGATGACTTTGGCCTTGCTCAGCTGCTCAAGCCTGATATGAAACATAGTGCAGGTCCTGAAGATGTTCAACACACGAGGGATCTGCTCATGGGCAACTGGTTGAAATCAGAGCACATTTGTGGCAGGCTGTCTTTGAATACCACAAAACCAGGCCATTTATTCAAAATGTGAGTGAGTGTGGGAGTCATGGAGACAGTTTGATAAAATACGTATTCCCAGGCTACATCCCTAGAAGTTTGGAACAGAGTAGGCCTGGAAGCCACATTTTAATTCCCGATCTTGATGCAGTGTGAAGCCAGCATACTGAGTTGGAGCTGCGGGCACCAGCAGGGCTGGGGAAGACATGGGTCCACCTGACGTAGGCACACGGCTCCTAACTCAAGGCTTCCTTTATCCCTTCATTCGTTTAACAGAGGTACCCTGTGTGTTTGCTGTGCCTTACCTTGGTAGGCACAAAGAGAAGAAAACATGCCTTCAAGGTGTTTCTATCAAGGGGAGTTCTTGTATACAGCATGAGAGGAAGAAGGACAGGACTCTGTGGGGGAAGGTGTCTATGAACAGGCGGTAAGGGGGCATCACATGAATGGTCCCAAGAAGGTGACCCCCATGCTGGGACCAGGGGAGGGCATTCCAAGGCATGAAGGCCTGTACCAGCAGGACATATATGGAGGCTGTAGGCATTTCTGTACAACTAGAGCGCAAGCCAGCTGTGTATGTACATGTATGCATATGTGCATGCACATACATGTGTATGTGTGTACATGTACAGACCTATCTGGGCTCACAAATGTGTGGAGATGAGGAAGGCCAGTCCAGGCAATCTGCAGGGCCAGCTCAGCAATGGCCTGGGAGCCACAGAGGGTCTCAGAGGGACTGGGCAGAGACATCGGTGCAGCTAGACCACCCCCCCCCAGACAAGATGCTTTGATGTGCAAGGTGGACACCCTTGTTCCCCTTCCACAAGTGCTCAGCTGAAAATGCATGGGAGGAGCCAGTAGGAGGCACCGCCCTCTGCTGCCCCAGGAGCAAATATCTCTCCCCTTGAGCTGCTCATTCCTACCCATGTCACTTGAGATTTATATTGAACCTGTATAAACAAAACACAAACCCAAGTGTTTAAATGTTAGTGCAGTCAAAGAGAACAGCAGCAAAAACAGCCCTCACTGGAATTCTAGTTCTAGAAGGATCTAAAAGCTGTGAGAAGGGTAACAGGAACATCCCCAACCACATAGTGACTGACAAAGGCCCACAGTTAACGTGCACTCAATCAGCCATGCTCATGACAAGAGGAGCTGCTTGCAGGGGAGAGCATCATGGTTCTGGGAAGCGTTAATGGATGATGAAAAGGTGGCACAGATCTGAGTAGTGACTGCCCTGGGTACTACTGGGGGGAGTAGAACCGCTAATCACATGGAAGAACCAGTCAAGCTGTGGCCACCTAGAGCTGTAGGGCTGCCTGCTTCTCAGAGCAGGACAGGGCTCAGCTCCAGTGGCCTCAGCAGGGACTTTGGGGCAGCATGGAAGTGGAAGGAAGTCAGGCCTGGGGCCTCCTGGGCAGGGGAGCATGTGCTTCTGAGAAGCAGGCATTGCTCTGGGCACACAGGTACACTGTACATCCACCCTGGGCACCTTGTCCTGGAAACCTAAGAAAGTGCACAACCTGCAAGGGCTCTGGGAGACAGCTGAGTTACAGGAGCTCCTGTCTGTCACTGATGCTTGCTGCCCGGTGTCTCACACAGGTTAATGATGCCAGGTTGGGAATTCTCCCAGGGTTCCCTACACACACACACACACACACACACACACACTCATTGCCCTCAGTAAGCTCGCTGGATATTTCCTTCAACATGTTGGTGGTTCGAAGGTCAGTGTACACATGCTTCCTTTTTCAGCCTCTAATTCATGTTCTTGGAAAAAAAAAAAAGCCATGGTGGACCAGGGATGAGGCCATCAGAGAACAGTGATGAGGCCACAGAGATCAGGGGCTAAAACTGTGGTGGACCAGGATACAGGAAGCACAGGGAGGAAGCTGCCCAGCCCAGGACCCCAGCAGCCAGCGCACCTTAACAAGCACTCTCATCATAGAGAGAAATCTCCTTCCCCTGTCCCTAGGATTTACAGATTCAGTGTATCCAGGGATCCTGGATCCTGTCCTCCTCCTACCTCATGCTCTACACACAGGGTTGTCCTTAGTTTTCTTTCACATTAGTTCAGGCTGCACCTCAGAAACTCTCCTCTTTCTCCCCAAAGCCAGCACTTTGTGGTGTGTACTCAAAGTTTGAGATGGGCCCCACCCCAGCACATCAGGTATCTCCAGGGCTTCACTAGGACACCTCCATCTAATCTTTCACTATGTAGGCAAGATGTGCAGACCTATCAAGACCCTCAGAGCAGTGGTTCTGTGCAAACACTCTCCATACCTGCAGTTCCTTGCTGTTATGGTTTGTATCTAGATGTCCCTCCAAAGCCTAATGTACTCACAGGCAGAGCTTTGGGGAGGAGAATATCATACTCTTAGGAGTATGATATTCATCAGTGGATTAGTTGTCTGGTGAGTTTATAACTAAATGTGATGTTGGGAATTGAAGCCTGGTAGGAGGAGGTGGGGCACTGAGGGCATGGCCTGGAAAAGTCAGTCTCCCTCCTCCTCCCTTGATCCCTCTCTGCTTCCTGCTGCCTTGACATAAGCTGTTCTTCCTCTGTGATGGCTCTCTGCCACGCCAGCCTACCTGGGAACCAGCCAGTTAGACTGAAGCCTCTACAAATTGTGAGCCAAAATAAACTTTCTTCCTTTAACTTGTGGGTGTTGGGTATTGTGTCTCAGCAATGAGAAAGGAGCTAAGCTGCTTGCCTCAAGAGAGCTCACCTCCATGAGCTCCCCAACAGACCACTACCACTTCCTCAGGGTGCAGCTCTGGTCCCAGGATCTGACCCTCAGTAGCATGAGGACACAGGACACAAAGCTACAGCAACAATAGCAAGCATGAGCACTGACCACCCTCCTTGTAGGGCACAGAGCTGTGGGCAGAGACATGCAGCACATCTCTGAGCTTTGACACAACAAAGTAGATGAAATGTATGATCCCGCTTTGGTGATGAAACAATGGAGCTCACCCCTGTAAACAGGGGAAGAATGGGGCCAGGCAGGGCCCAGACATAGCTCTGCCTGCAGCCCCTACCGTCCCTGCTCTGCCTGCTCTCCAGGAAACAAGAGACCTCCAAGGAAACTGAGTCATCATGACATATTCAATCAGGTTTCCTGGGGCTGGCTCCCCACAGCAGTTCGGGGACAGCAGGGGCTGAGTGAAGCTGTGCCACCCCCATCCCATCCTGCATACTTCAGTCTGCACACCTGGGACTCCCTCCAGCCTGGAGGACACCCCCAGCTGTGTCAGGGAGGCCAAGACCAGAGCTCAAGTACAGACAGGGAGGGAAGGGAACAGCTCAGTCCTGGTTCTGCCTGGACTCAGCGGGGAAAGTCAGTCACTGAGAGCTCCTGACCCTGTCCCTGAAGCAGGACCTGGAGAGCAGAGCCACTGGCTGGGAGGAGCTACAAGAACAAGACTCTCAGCAGCTTTGCAGAGTGCAGCGGGGGCAGGGCTCAACCTGCATCCCAACTGTAAATCCCAGCCTTGTCCTGGGGAATGCCACCCACAGGCTGTCTGTCGAGGCTTTCCTGGAGGGAGAAAGGCAGGGGGTGACCCCAAAGATGGCAGGTGATGTTCTTGAGATGCTGCCAAGTCATCTCATCCCCTAACTCGAAACCAGCCTTCCCGGCAGTGATGGAGGCCAAGGTAGGAAGTTTGGGCAGTTTCATTTAGCAGTTTGTTAGCCTGAGTCACGTTTTGGCACAGGCCGCATAGGCTTCCTTTGCACATGAGTGGGTCTCTCCCACCTGACACTCTACAGGGGTGGCCAGCAGCACTTGTTACCTTTTCCCCATCCAGGAGCTCTTGCAGGATGACCTGTCTCTCTCGACACAGTTCCAAGAAGTCTTCCGAGTGCAGACTCTCATGCAGGGCAGGGAAGAAGGTGAGCTGGGTGCAGTCCAGCACCACCTTGTCGGGCTCACACGCAGTGTCCTCTGGTGCCAGCTCACCTGCAGCAGCATCAAGGGGTGTGTCATGGGGGAGGGTGAGTAGTGTGTCCCTGTGTCACCAAGAGGACTGCAAGGCCAGGAGGCAGAGTGAGGAGTGCGGACAGCTCAGTGTGCCCTTCTGCTTCAGGAAAGGGATACCTGCCTGGCCATGTGGCACAGTCAACACACCCTTACGGTCACCTCCGCAGAGGGCCCAGTGTGACCAGGGCAACCCTCCGAAGCCCACCCCCTCATTAAACAATCAAGTCCCAAAGCTTCTTCCAATCCCTACTTTGTTCGTTCTCTGAACACTACTGTTGATATTTTCTAATATCTAATACCTTAGTATGTAAAAAAAGTCAAAACCATGATGTGGTGAGAAATGAAGCAACAGCACCCCACCCAGAGTGTCAAGAGTAACTGGCCCCATTCACCAAGCTCGTTCTCTATGCCGAACACTTCTAATATTTGTCCCTCTGGTCCTGCTAAGGAGGTGGGCGATAGTTCATCCTCTTATCACAAAGGGAAAACTGGAAGAGGCTACTTATCTGCACAAGATTTTAGCTCCCAAGAATGACAGGCAGAACCTGACCCAAGTCCTCCTGAGCCCAAGTCCAGCATCTTCGCCTCTAGGCTGCTGGCTTCCATGCCCAGAGGACAACTGGCTTACTCCCAGAGCCGCTCCTGTGTTTATCTGTACATGCATGCATATGCACATGGGATTTGTATCATGATAAGAATAATTGTGTTTGCAGTCTTTCTTTGCTAATGTTTGCCATTCAAGATTATGGTGTGAGCACCATACCAGCCCATTTCAAGTTTCTTGAATTTAGATGCTGGTGAAATATTCTATTATGTGGCTGGTTCATATCCAGCTAACTCATCTCCTGATTTTTAGAGATGTGGGTGGTTTCTGTGCCCCTAGTGCCTCAGTGTACTCTGGTACAATCACTCTGGCATGTATCTAGACTTATTTCCCAAAGGCAGGGATATCTGAGTCCACAGCAGGCACATAACCACCTGGATTAGGTGCTGGACTCTGCTCCTTCTCTTCCCACAAGTCCTGAGTTTCCAGGGCCTGGAGCAGGTGTACACCCCTCGTGACTGCAAAGCTCTGGCCCCTGTCTTTGTGGTTAGATGCTCAACCCTGACTACCTCCCCAGGGAACTGCACATCTGGGTGGGAGAGTGTCTGCTACTTGTGTGACAGCCCTTAGAGGCTTTGCGCAGGGCACCTGGAAGCACAGTGGAGAACCATGGCCCTCTCCTCTCTCCTGCTGGGCTCTTTACTTGAGATCTGTGCAAGAAACACCAGGGAGGCCCAGGGCTTCTGCACGTCATGTGAGTGCCCAGTGGAGGAAGCCACTTACAGCCACGGTCCACAGAGCATCAGCACAGTTCTCAGTTGTGGTGCCTGTTACTGTGACAGGTCAGACAGTGGGCACAATGCAAGGCCTTGCCTCAGGCTGCGAAGGAGTTGAGCTCCAGCAACACAAGGAGGCGTCACTGGGTGGAGGAAAGGACACCGATCACAGCCAAACTGCAATGGCACTCACAGACCCACAGGCCGGGAGCATTCAAGCCAAAGGCAGAGTCTTTGGTGAAAACAGGAAATTTGAAATTGTGCATGTGTGCGTGTGTGTGTGCACGTGTGTGTATATATTTGGACATGTTTGTAACAACATGACCTCTGAAAATAAACTCTGCATTTTCAGCAAATCAACATAAGCAATTCCTCCGTGACAATCACACACACAAAGAAGAAGCATTAACATCAAAAATGACTCTGAGCATTTTCTTAAAGTACAGGAAATAACAGCTGACTATTATATCTGTCATTTTCCTCTTCAAGAAGTCCAGGGTAAAACAAATTAACTATCTGTGCTCTCCATTTCCATTCTAAGGCTTGTTATTTTCTGTGTGTTTTTGTCACCTACTGAACATGTATTTGGATTGTTCAGGGACACTTTTAAGTCTCCTTGATATAGTAAACTGGTGAAACCATTTCTCCCTAAAAATGTGTATTGTTCCAAACTCAGTCCTAAATCCCTGTGCTAATAGCATGTCTAGGCCTGGGACGGGCTCCTCTTTAGTCTGGAAACACAATAAGGGAAGTCTTAGTGCTACTTAGTCTACCTTTACAGCTTCTTCTTCCCAAAATATTAATTTAATATCTTTAATAAGGTAAAAATAAATCAAATAATTTGTTTAATTGTTAAAGGAAAAAACAGAAAAACTAATAAACTCATTACCTTGTTTTTCAGCATTGTTCTGTGAAATATCTCCCTGTTGGTCTTGGCTCTCCTGAAACAAGAGCAGAAAAAAGAGAAATGAAATCCCGACCCATTCCCATAGACTGAGAAACATGCAAACAATTGCAAACCCTTTAAGTTACTCAAGACTCAGATGCAAGAGGAGGGAACCACTCAATGCTAAAGGAGCACAGTAAAATACAAGTATTAATGTTCTTGAGTCAAAGGGAAAAAACCCACAATCTTCCATTAAGCAGAATTACAGTAATTGCCAAAGACAGTGCCAGTACAGGTTGGAGAGCATGCTGGATGTCTGTGTGTGGCCACCCTGGGGTGGGGATGCCAGGGACCTGGGGCTGCACAGCCCGAGAGACCAGAGACCCAGCTTCAGAGGGCACAGTCCCAGCTTGGGGCATGTTTCTTCCTTTTCCTGTCCCCAATTCCTAAGAAATGTATGGAGGGAAACATACTGCAAACCACCAGATGCTTGCTGACACCAGCTTAATAACATTGAGTAAGTGAAATACACTTTTCTCATTAGGTTCTCTAAAAAGGTCAGCATTGCTGAGAGATGCTGGGGTTACAGATAGAGAAGTCAACTTTGAACCTTGGGGTGCATGCAGAAGGAGGCACTCCGTGCCTGGAAGGCTACCTTTTAGAATAGTTTAAGTCATGGTTGTTCAACATTGTGAGAGCTACTAACAGACTCTTTTACATCCTGAGTCCAGCTGGCTTTGCAGCCCTTGAAAGGAAGATAAGGCCACACCTGGTGGTCAAGTACAGCTTTACTACATCAAAGCCTCAATAAAAGTCAGGCCCACTGTAAAACTCGAGATGGGACTTACAAACACGGGATCGTTCCCCTGGACTTTAGGGGACAGCAGTATGGCCTGGGTATCGGGGCACCATATGAACCACTTGCCCGCCTGTCCACGCACTCGTCCATCCATTTAGACTCTAGTTACAGTGTTGCTGTATGTGCCAGGAGGATTAGTGCCTCCGGTTCCTGTGTTAAAGGACACCCGAGTGAGGTATAGGACTCTTTGCCATACCTGCCTACATTCTCTCTCTCACCTGATAGAAGTGCAGGATGGGAAGGCTGCAGAGCTGTCCTCCTCCACTCCCTATGTGTGTCCCACCTGGAACCGCACCCCAAGTCTCTGTGCACCCACACTTACCTTGCATCCCCCTGGGCTTGCAGTCTCCCACGGAGACAAGCGCCGGATGCGCTTCCTCATGCGAGCAGGGCCTTCTCTCCAGTCCAGTTCCCAGTGGGAGCAGGGCGTGGCCTTTTCCGCCGGCCAGCTCCACAAGCCCAGCTCCCCAAAAAGTTGCTCCTGGATGCAGGCCCAGGCTTTGGCTGCCTTGATGTTGCCGCATCGCCGCCTCTGAGAAGCAGAAACAGCGACTCACCTTGGCATGTGCTCCTCATGGGCAGCCCCACTCCCTCCAGGATGGGGAGACCAAGAGCCCATAAGTGGCAGAGAAAGACACTCCTGTAGCCAGCACCAGGCCAGGAGAAGGGTTTGGGATGGTTCAGTCCCTTGTAGGGGAGGAGAAAACTGACCACTGTGACCCTCAGAGGCACCAGACTCCTGGTGCGGAACAGAGAGTAGCAGGTCCCAAAGGTCCTGAAACTAATTGTCAGAGTAGATTAGACTGTGGTTTCACAGCGGGACATGGAATTTCGCCAGGTCCCCTGTCCTTCCAAGGGATGCCAAATACTCTTCTCATCACCTGACCAGAGACAGAATAGGAATTGCCAGCCCAGCGGATGATGATGTGAGCCCTTTATTTTCACCTCTTGCCCACAGAATCCCCAAATGTGGGGTCTGGATGACATCTAAGGCCCTTCCAGTCCCTGGTGTAGTACGATTCTTGAATGTCCAAGGATTCGAGAATGTTCATGAAAACTAATACTTTTGTCTTGATGCAAACACTCCCATCTCATAGCTATGAAGTAGTATTATAGCTGCGAAGTTTGTGTGTGTGGTCTGTGACTGTCACACCTTCTGTCGAGTATAATTTGAACCTTTGTACAAGCATGCGACCGCCTAAGCTGCTTCTGTTGGCCACAGCGAGGCTCCACACCTCACCTGGCAAGGAAACACCGCAGCCCACTTCAGACACTGGAATCAACTTCTCTGCAGGGTGAACTTTATTCAAGACAATACTACTCAAAAATTTCCTAGTATTTGCCCCAAATTTTAACATTTCAGAAAATAAAAGCATGAAAATACAAAGGACAAGAAGTGTAGGTCTCACAAACTGAACGTGAGTAGAAGACAAACTCGTGACCCCGTGTTCAGCTGAGCTATGCGCCAGCTTGAGCTCGTTTTCTCTATGCAGTGAACACCACAAGCAAAAATCTCTATTGTCCCTATGGAGACACTGAGTCTGGACAGGAGAGGTGACTCCTGCAAATCTCACAGGTGGGCGAGCTAAGCCTGAAACCTGTCTCTGGCTTCCAAAGTCACCTTGAGCCTGTGACTTGGAGTATTTAGAGGGGTCCTCTTACTATTTTACGGACATATGATTTCTGCTGCTGTTTCCTCAATGACTAGCAGAACTTTGGGTCTGGGCACTTCAAATCTGGGCCATTTGAATGGGGAAATCATTCTCAGAACTTGTGAAAGCAGGTCTGGAGGGAGGGGACAGTGCCTCGTATGTGCCCTTTGGCATCTAGTGACCCTGGTCTCTCGGTTCCTGTGATTCACCAGCAGCTGAATCTGAAGAACCTGAGCTCCTTATCTGTGTCATGTGGTTTAGGATGTCACGACTGTCACTGAGCCATGGCTCAGGGAACAACTAAGACATTCTCACAAGTGTGATATGGTGCCATCGCGAATTCCCACAGTGTTAGGACTGAATAAAGCTAATCCCATTTCAAAACAAAGTGATTTTATTGCTCTATACTCCCTAAATTCATATCCAAAACTGTCACAGCACTTTATGCAGGATGCCAAGTGCTTAACAAGGAACCCCAGAAAAATAACAATCATTTATAGCTTTTCATCGACTTTTGATCCCATGAAAGGAACACACATTCGGGGCAAAGATTTCAGTCCCCAGGAGATTCCTGCTGGCCTTGCAATAACATGTTCCCTTGATGAGGGAGGAGTGATCCCAAGCCCTTAGGTCTGCAGCCCAGGCTACACAGCGGTCCTTTAACTCCAAGCACCCTCTCCACCCAGAGCCCCTCCTGTACAGCCTCAAGCTATACCAAGGGCACACATGCGTCATGCACATCTGCAGACAGCCAGACACATGTCCCTGAGGAGATTCCTAAGAACAGTGACATTTGAGGTCATAACAGTAAGTTGCATGTAACCTCAGAACAGAGGATATCAGATGACCAAGCTGCAATAGCCCTGGGCTTCTGCATGGCAGGGGTGCTGTGCGGTACCAGGGGTCAGCACAGTAGAATGTCCACTTTCAGCTCCAGCCACAAGGAACCAAGTGCTGCATCTGACACTCCAGCAAGGGGTCTGTGGGAGCAGCTGTGGATTTTGGCAGATCTGCTGCTTGCATGGCCACACTAGACCTTCCCTTGGGAACTCAGTGCTTCCTTGCCTCCAACTCTGCACTGCGCTGCTTGGACCCGAGCCCTGGCTTCAGGTTGAGCATTCACCCTCTGGCTGAGCCAAGGCACCGCACAGGGCTGCAGATGGGCTGACAGGAGTTGTCTAGGTTGGGCATGGAGCTTTCTGGAAGCCGAGTGGGGCCATGCTGCCCCTTCGAAGTGGGGTGACTGCTCCAGACCCCATTATCCTCAGCAGATGGTGATTAAAACTGCATTCTTTTGAACATCAAAATGATGTTTTAAATATTTAAACACTTGGAAAGTATCTTCATGGATTAGCTTCAAAATGCTGATTTTTCTCAAAACTATGTAAGCAACGGTAAAACTGCACAAATTTCTTAAGTACTCCCCAGACTCCGTGAGGTCCCGCAGCTTCGGATGAGCCCTGCAGGAAGCTAGTCCATCCCTTCTGGGCCAGGAACCTCTGCTGAGGTCCTGATGCCCACAGAGTCTGCAGTGTCACAAAGTCAGCAGACACAGTGCCAGAGCATGCACCTCCCTGCTGCCCCAACAGAGGTGGCCATGCTCACCTGCTCTGAGGCTGATCTCAACATTTATAAACCTCTCCTGTCTAGAAAGGATGCCTCAAATCAAAAACACAATCGTAACCAATTCATCCTCTCTTCCCCTCAGTGGCAACTGAATCTTTCAGCCTCATGGCTTGTCCTGGACACAACCAGTGAGTCCACATAGGGCAATGACTTGCAGGAGCTGCCTGGGAGCACAGACAGCACCCACCAGAGTGTGCCCAGAGGTGCTCACGGGGAGCTGCCCACAGTAGACCCTATCCAAAGCTCGCCCACATAAACCAGACATGCGGTCCGTCCCCCACAAGCACCAAGAGCTCATCCCATCCACTGCACACTTCCTGCACCACCCCTCTGCTTCTCATCACTCACAGCAGCCACAGAGGTTTTGTTGCTCCCCTGTGTGTTCCCAAGCCAGCTTCTGTGGGGGGAACTAGACAAGGTGAGCGCTCCAGCTGGTCCCCACCTCCTTTGGCTCCTGGCTCCTGGCTTCAGGCCTCACCTTTCCTGACCTGCAGGCCACTGGGCAATGAGGGTTCCCTGTGGCCCACTGTACTTCTGAAGGCAGAACCTCTGATACTGGCCCATCTGTAGGAACCTCTGTGCCCTTGGTCCCTTTGTTAGGTTTAAGTACCTCCCAGGCAGAGCTATAACACCTTAACAGCTACATTTGCTACCCACACAGTTTCCAAAGAATAGAAACTGCTCAGTGTAAAACATAATCCATAAGGTTTTGATACTGTATGGTGTGCTCCATAATGAGAAATCACTTTTTAAATTTTTATTAACAAAAATAACACCAACTAGCCAGACCTCCCAGTTGCCAGAGTCATGCTGCCACCCTCGGTCTTACTTGCCCTTTACTCATCACCTCTGGAAAATATTCTCCTGTCTTGAAGATGAAGACCTTGAGGCTCAGACCCCAGACCTATGCCTAGCCAGAGAGCCTTTTGCCTTGTCTGGGCAGAAGTCATGCTAGACAGGGGTTTGAAATACCTGGACCCCCAAATCTCCCATGCCAACCCATTGCACTCAGGGTAAGGCTCCAACACCTTACTGGGTTCAGCCTGGTCTGTTTTGCTCCCAGCTTCCCCTTCACCCTGTCTCCCCCAGCCCAGGTCCTCCCAGCTGCTTCCTCCAGCTGACTGATGATATCTAGCTCCTTCCATCCTCAGGACCTTCACACATCTCTCCCTGCTCCCAAACACTCTTCCTCACACACTTCAGGCAGTCTCCTCCTCCTGGTCTTGGCTCACATAGTCACTTCCTGTGATGAGGGTTCCCACTGTAATCACTGCTCAAACATGTGCTCCCCCCTGCCCAGCACCTACCATAAGTCATAATTGTTTCACATAGACAGTGAAAGGGTCCATCTGGGTGCAGGCCACTGCTGCATCTTTATACCTCTGCTGCACCTTTATACCTCTGCTGCACCAAGCAGCTACGTCCCTCAGGACCCATTTGCTGAGTGAATAAGTGACCCTTGGCCGCTGACCATCAGATTCTCAGCCCACCACGTGGGCCGTGCAGAAAGAACTGAGCCACTCATGACTGTTACAGACTTCTGCAGTCCAGCACTCAAACCAAGGCTCTCAGGGTCCTTTTCTTTGAGGTTTGAGGTGGATCTGGGCCAACTCTGCAGAGATGGGCTCTGCGTCTCACCTGCACATGGTCTCGGTACAGGGATGCATACAGCTCCTGTCCCCTTCGTCTGCAGTTCTCAATACAAGACACAAAATCCTGGAGGAGAAGGGAAGAGAGAAGCAACAGCTCAGTGATACTTGAAAGTTTAGGTTAGCACTTCCCGACCGATCACCAGAACTTGCCGTCACAGGACTTGGTCAAGTCAGTCATAGTCACATGAACAGAGTTCATCTGTGTGAGCTCACTCATGTGCTAATGTGTGCACATGCACATACGTGGGTGGTCTCCGCAGGAAGATTTTGCTTATGTGGGCCCACTCATGGGTTAAAACGTTCACACCTGTATCTGGGTAACTTCACATGAGCAGACTTCGCCCGTGCAAGTACATGTGCTACACGTGCTAACACATACACACTTGCGGGCAGTACTTCCACCTGGAGAGACTTCACCCAGTGGTACACTCACATGCTAAGATGTGCACACCTGTGTATGTGGGTAAATTCTGTATGAACAGACTATCCCCTGAACTGGGAAGGAATGGATCCATAACCCATTTATGAATAAGCCAGGTGAATTGACTTGGTCCGTGCTTGAAGAGGATTTACTGCTTAAGATCGCAAATAACAGCAGTTTTAAAAGTATGTTTGAGATAACTTCAAGTCTTCACATGTCCAGGCAGATTATCCTGACATTGCTACAGAAGTTCTGAAAAGGCTGCTTCCGTTTCCAACCTTTCTTTATGAAGCAGAGTTTTCTGCAGTGACAGCAACCAAAATGAGGTCATGGGGTGGACACTTCAGGTGTCACTGTCCTCCATTGCTCCCAGGTGAGACTGTCTAGTTTCAGGAAAATAAGGTCAGGGCTCCCACTGATGCTGCATCATGATGAGTTTTATAATTATTTCACTATATATTACAATATAGTAGTAGTAATAATAATAATAGAAGTAAAATGCATGATAAATAAAATGTAACCCCCTCCCAATCTATGAAAAAAATGACTTCCCCAAAACCGGTCCCTGGTGTTGAAAGTTTTGGCACCACTGCTCTAGAGTAAAAAAATTAAAATATAATTTAAAAAATATAATAAAAATATAATGATAGAATATATTATATTAAAATATAATAAAAGAATTAACTTTCAGCTAATACAAAGTAAAGAGACATAATGAAAAACAATTGATAATATATTGAAAGAGGGCAAAAAGAATTTTAAAAATCATTACAAACAGAAAGTAAATATTAAAACAGATTAAATTTACTAAAAATATTATTAACTACATTAAACATAAATGGACTAAGTGCCCCAAATACAATGTAAACAAAGTCAAGTTTAGTAAAAAGTAAAAGCTAAGTACTGTAAATGCTGCTTCCAAAAGAAATCCTTAGTGCCAGGGATATAGCTCAGCTGTACAAGCACCTGCCTGTCAAGCGTGAGGTCCTGAGTTTGATTCCTGTTACAAAAAAAAAAAAAAAAACAAATCCCTAAAACAAATGCCACAGAAAGTTGAATGAAAAAACATAAACTGTACAAACCCTAACTGAAAGAGTTCCTCTAAGGCTGTAAAATGTCCTATTAAGAAGACTTCAGGGCAAATGGTGTTAGTAGACACAAAAAGAATGTTTTATCATGATAAGGGTAGAAACAGTTGAAAGTACACGTACTAAATGAGAACCACCAAATACTTTTAAAATGCATTATATGTAAAATGACAGAATTAAAAGGAGAAATTAACAAATTTACAATCACAGAGGAAGATCATAACTCATCCTTCAGGAAATAACAACAGAAATGAATAAGAAAGGTAGAAATGTAGAGTATTTAAAAAACAAGATAAGCAAATGAACTAATCCAATGCCAAAAATATAGATTTTTGAAAAAATGCATAATATTTAAATGGAATAATTACTCAAATCGACCACATAATGGGATATAAGTGAAGTATAAAATAATTTCAAATGATTTAAATTATAAAGAATGTATTTTCTAAACACAGCGGAATTAAAGTAGAGTTAAATATCAAAAAAAATTCCCAAAGACTTAAAAATCCAGCAATTATCTCCAAGTAACCCATTGGTCAAATAAGAGATCAAAACAGAAATCATAATGTACTTTGAACTAGATAAAAATATGACACAATAGAACATATGATACAATCAAGACTCTTTTGGAGGAATGTTAGTAAAAATATAAATAACCATACAAATGCTACTTATTAAAAATGAAGCTTATAAATGAAAAATGCATATAAAAAGTTTAAATATCAAGTTAAAACTAAGGAAAGTAGAAGAAAGTTGTCATGTCTGACCTGAGAAAGACCCTCTCAAGCAAACATGCTGCCCGCCGTAAACAACAGGAAACCACTAACATGCTCCCTTCAGCAAACAAAACAGATGGCCATAAAGCAATTTTAGGACAGAATATATGATCTCCCCGGCGCCAAGAAGTCCACTGTTATCTACACACCTACACTAACTGTCCTGGGAACTTTGACCCCAAACATTCCACCCAGATTCCTTGGGATTATAGCCCCATTCCCAAGCCCCATCAAAACACAACTTTCCTTCTAGCCAGCTGCTGAAATCATTCACTATCTCAGCCTGTCTGCATGCAGACAAAATAAACCCATCCTTCTGCTCTCACAAAGACTGTGTGTCCAGGTGGCTTCTTGTGTGCCACTGATGACAAAGTTATAGTAAAAATAAGAGAAGAAATTAATAAAGGAGAATTTAAAAATAGTCGAAAAAACTGTTAAGGGCAAAAATTGATTTCTTGAAAGGCTGGTTACATTTAGAATCCCAAAATTTGTCCAATAAGAAACAAAAGAGGCATAAATTACCAGAAACAATGGTCTGAGCAACTGATTTGAAGGTAACAATTTGCAGTGGAATTACAATGGTGAACTCCTTCCATCTTGTCTACTGAAACTCTCTAATATCTCTAATGTTTTATTGAAGAATTATTTTCTTAATCTCTTTAATGGATTGAGCAATCTTTCATTCTTACATCTGATAATCTGAGCAATGTAGTTGAGGGTAGCAATATGCAAAGTAACAACCACTGTTGATTTGCATTAATTTGTCTTGAGACCCTGTATCACTTTGAATGTTTTTGCTTTGATTTGTTTATGTTCATGATACTGGTATGCTGCTACTGTTCTATTTTGTTTGTTTGTTTGTTTCTCATGTACTACTCTCTTTATAATACAGAAAGAAAGAATTTATCCCTATTTTAAAAAAATATAAATAAATAAATAAATTACCAGAAAGAAGAACAACAAGAAAAGATATCACAGATCCCATAAACATTTTAAGTTAAAGGCCAGCCTCAACTACACTACTGAGACTTGTCTCAAATAAAAACAATAACAAAATAATTGTAACATTATCAAAAATAATTTTAAGCTAAGATACTTGAAAAGTTGAGGGAACTACACATACTCTCAAGAAAATACTAGAAAAAAAGTTTAAAAATCTGAACTGTCTCATTTGTTCACAGAAAGTACATCCATCAATAAAACTCTTCCCATGAAGAAGATATCATCCACGACCACAAATGAGGGGCAGATGCCAGGGAAAACTAAGAACCAAAAATGAGAAGAACATCCACAAAACAAAAGCCACACATACGTACATTCTGGCTCTTCTTTCATCTCTCAGTTTATTTGAAGTATATAAAATTATATAAAGGAAAACTTGGAACAATATGTTGTTGGGCTTCTAATTTTATAAATATATGTACAACAATAATGACAGGCCAGGGATATAGCTCAGCAGCACAAGTGCCTGCCTGGCAAGCACAGGGTTCTAAGTTCGATTCCAGGTACAAAAACAAAAACAAAAACAAAACAAAACAATAATGGCACAGAAAGAGGAGAAGGGATAACAGACACATAGGAGTGACATTTCTATGTCTCACTGGAGCTGATCAATATAAATTTGAAGCTGATTCTCATGAAATAAGATGTACATGGTAAACCTAGAACACCACAGAGGAAGGGAAATTTTTAAAAAATACAGCAGAAAAATTAGGAACTTTAAATGCTATATTATAATAAATTAACTTAATGTAAAAGAAAGCAATATGAAAGGAATAGAAAAACTAAAGATATGAGATACATAAAGAACCAAAAGTACAATAACAGACATAAACTCAATCATAGAATGTGAATGGGCTACACAGTCCAATCCAAAGCAGAGAATGGGATAAAAAAGCAAACAAGACTCAACTGTATGCTGGCTACAGGAGACACTCTAAAGTCAGTCATATAAACCAACTGAAATTGAAAGAATGGGGAAAGATAGATCAAGAAAACAATAACCATAAGACAACTAAATTGGCTTTACTAATAACAGATAAAAATACAAAGGCAGAAAGGATCTCTCCAATATATTTTATAAGGTCAGTTATTAACCTGATCCAGAAACCAAAAACTTCACAACAGGAAAGAGAAACCTGAAGACGAATATCTCTTACAAATATGAACATAAAACTCCTCAAAAAATATTACCAAATTGATTCCAGCAACATATAAAAATTACATGCCATGATCAAGTGGGATTTATCCCATTTATGCAAGATCGATTTAAAATTTCAGAACAATGTAATATACCACAGCAGGAGAATAAAAAATAAAAGTCACATGATCATTCTGATAGACACAGAAAAATATTCAACAAAATACAAAATCCCTTTGTGACAAAAAAAAGGTGCAAAACAACCCGGCCAATCAACTAGAGAAAACAGGGGAATTTTCTCAGCCTCATAAAGAACATGATGGCTAACATCATACCTATGCCAGAAATTGAAAATAACCCAGACAGATGTCCATCAACTGAAGGTAAACAATGTGATCTATGTATATATGGAAAGTTACTTTGCCCTAAAAAAGAATGAAGTAATGACAGATGGCTCAACATAGATGAGCCTTAAAAACATAACCCTGAGTTAAAAAGCAAGCCTCAAAAGACTGTACGTTATATGAAATGACCATAGAAAAACAAGTAAACAAGACTTAGTGGTGGCTTATGACTGGAGGTCAGGGGATAACAAAATTTCTTTTGAGGTCATGAAAATATTATTAAATTGACCATGGT